GTCCTGGTCCGCTTAGCGTTCACACTGGCATTTTTGACAGCGAACCTAAAGGCATAGTGATACGTTCACAACCTGATTGGTCGGGTTGAATGACGTATATTTCGTGACGGAACTCACCGAATACCCCAAACAAAAGCTGTGTTTGACTTAAAGCGGCGCCTCGCAGACCGATCGGTGTATGACATCAAAGTTCCCATTCACCGATCGGTCTGCTCAGCGCCGCTTTAAGTCGAACACAACTAATGCGGTCTACTGGACAAAGCACGCTCATTGCTGCGTGTACTTATGAAGAGCTCATTAAAGGCACTTTACCTCCTCATTACTCCACGTTTGCCCTTTGCTCATTTTGTTTTGGATACACCGCTCGTTCCGCGTCATCAAATCATGTCGTATAGCATTGCATCTTGTCATTACTTCCTGTTTTTGGTTCATTTAGAAATATTTGGTCCGTGTTGCGTTCATATTTAATTCAAACCGCACCAGAGTTATACATTAATAATAATTTATCATCTTAAGGGAGCTTTCACACTAGTTCTTTTGGTGCGCACCTGGGTTCATTTAACGTCAGTGTTTGGTTAGTTTGGATAATGAGAACACTATTTTCTAAGCTCGGGTGCGCATCCGCGAACCGTACCCGAGTCCACCTAAAAAGGCTGGTCTGGGGTACGGTTCATGCGAACTCCGGTACGGTTCACTTCTGATGTGAACGCAATCGTAATCACAGAAGTGAACCGCTATTAATGACGTATGAATTGGTCAAACTGTGTATTTACGTATTTGTGTCACTCGCTTTCCTGAAAAGCGTGATTGACGCTCTGTCGCAGAGAGAATGTATGGGTGCGTTCACACTTGTAGTTCGGTTCTCTTGGTTTGTTTGGTCCGGACCAAAAAAGAAAACGATACATTTGGTCCTGGTCCGCTTAGCGTTCACACTGGCATTTTTGACAGCGAACCTAAAGGCATAGTGAAACGTTCACAACCTGATTGGTCGGGTTGAATGACGTATATTTCGTGACGGAACTCACCGAATACCCCAAACAAAAGCTGTGTTTGACTTAAAGCGGCGCCTCGCAGACCGATCGGTGTATGACATCAAAGTTCCCATTCACCGATCGGTCTGCTCAGCGCCGCTTTAAGTCGAACACAACTAATGCGGTCTACTGGACAAAGCGCGCTCATTGCTGCGTGTACTTATGATTTTATTTTCACCACCTGCGAACTCACGAAGAGCTCATTAAAGGCACTTTACCTCCTCGTTGCTCCACGTTTGCCCTTTGCTCATTTTGTTTTGGATACACCGCTCGTTCCGCGTCATCAAATCATGTCGTATAGCATTGCATCTTGTCATTACTTCCTGTTTTTGGTTCGTTTAGAAGTGTTTGGTCCGTGCATAGTCGTTACCTAGTAACGGGGTAAACAGCTGCCACTCTGATGACACAAGTGTACCACGGTTTGGTACCAAAAAAAAACACAGTATGAACACAAACCAGCAGGGGCGGTGGGAGGGGGGAGCAATTGAACTCGGATTCGGACAAGGCAATCGAACCAAGTGTGAAAGCACCCTAAGTCGCTTTTAGTCATGTTGAAGTCATGTTGAGAACCAGGGGGTTAGTTTATAGACCTAAAACCTGGGAGAGAATTAGAATTTTTGAGCTATGCGTTTCCTTCTGGAATTCCTAGTTTTTAGAATAGCGGTTTTCGAATTATGATTAAAATTGTAGTTAATGTTACTTGAAGAGACTTTAATGTTTTGTTCTAACCTTATGCTGCATACCCATACTCATAAACTGAACACAATCACAAAACATTTCCATTTTAAAATCACATTAGAATTTCCTAAAGGAGCCTTCCAAGTTGACCGTCAAATTGTCGTCTTGACTGAACGACTCTTATTTAAATGACAAAATGGTGTTTTCATCATTAACGCATGATTACGTTTGTTTGTCTCACAGAAAAAAGACGAGTCACAACAATTCAAAACCAGTCCAAAGCAGTCACAGTCTGTTAATGACTTACTAGGACTAGGTGAGAAGCTAACAACACACCATACATATCAGTGCAATCACAATATAGATGCTTAATGTTGAAACTCTCTTTCCCAGATGCCCCTGCTCCTCAAGCTCCCGTGTCCAATGGCAAACCAAGCACTGAACTCAGTCCTGCCCTCGACCTCTTCAGCTCTCTGCCTGCCACCGTCAGCAGCTCAAACTCCTCCAGGAGCACGGTAAAGATTTCCATACAGTCCAGAGTTTTCACTTCATTCTTTGACTATCTTGGATCCATCTTTTGAGTGATTAATGCATGTAAACCAAGTAGTTTGTGTTTTTTCGTTTGTTTTTTCCCCACTGTAGCCTAGCTCAGGGTCCATGCCCACTGGACGGGTAGCAGCATCAATGCCCGAAAACCTCAGCCTGTTCCTGGATCCCCCCTCCAAAAGTGAGGACAGCGGGAAAAAGCTGTCTAAGGACTCAATCTTGTCCCTGTACGGCAGTACAGCACCACAAACAAACATGGCTGCTCATGGTGAGATTAGTTTCAGGATAAAGGCATATTTGAAATGACTTACATGTTGTTTTCTGTCGCTTTGTACTGTTTATGCATGTTTATCTGTTTCTGTTTTAGCTGGCATGTATATGGGAGCAACCCAGATGGGATATGTCCCTGCTGCAGGGTACGGCCAATACCAGGCCCTGGGTGCCCAGCAGGGCATGATGGGGCCTATGATGGCACCACAGATGAACATATTGGGACATACTGCTCCTCCGTACATGGCAGGGGTGCAGGGGCGCGTAATGGGAATGCAGAATGGGATGATGGGAAACATGGCAGCAGTTCCTCAGCAGGCATATGGAGCTCAGCAGGCCCAACAGCTGCAGTGGAACATCAGCCAGGTAACAAGCACCGAATTCACAATTACCATGCTGATTTGAAACGGCAAATATTTTGTTTTTTTCCCCACAGTGATAGCCCAAAAATGTTTTCATGTATGTTTAATTCAAATCAAATCCATTTTGTTTGTTACTGCAAGAACACACGTTATAATGATTTTAAAATCTGAAATTCAAATTCTGTCATCATTTACTCAGCCTTATGTTGTTCCAAACGAGTATGTATGACCTTTTGTGAAACACAAAAGAAGATATTTTGAAGAATGTACAGGTTTTTTCCATGTATTTATCATGAATGGAGAGCTTTCAAGCATCAACAAACCTGCAAAAGCACAATAAAAGTATCCATAGGACTCATTCGCTATATTGTAAGCCTTCTATAATGTTATAAAATGTATAATGTTACAAAACTTTTCTATTTCAAATAAATGCTGTTCTTTTGAACTTTCTATTCATAGTCAAAAATAATTGGAAATGTTTCTTGATCACAGCTTTGTCATCACAGCAATAACTTACATTTTAAAATATATTAAATAGAAAGCAGTTATTTTAAATTGTAATAATATTTCACAAAATATTACTGTTTTTACTGTATTTGTAATTATGATCATTGCAGCCTTAGTAAGTATAAGAGACTTCTATTATCGACCCTAAACTTTTGAACAGTATTGTTCTTACTCTTATGACTGCTAACATAATTAGTGATTTAAATTTCATCTGTTCCTCACATGAAGCTGTAGTGTGGCTTATGAAGATGCAGATGCACTTTTACGATGCTTTTGTCATACTTTTTTCACTCTTTTTAAGCTTGAAAGCTTCTTTATGTCTCCTAGTTCAGTGTTTCCCAACCGGGGTGCCGTCTGTCGAGAGCAGGGGTGCCGTGTAAAAAATAATTTTTTAATATTTCTAAATTGCTAAAATGTTCAAAAAAGCATCTATTATATAATATCCATTTCTGATGTCGCCAATAATTAGAGATGCACCGCCAAGTTAGTTCCCTGTGGAACATGAGGCTGTGGCAATCTGCTTCCTTGAAAGCTTCAGTCCCCATTAATTGTTCTGTATTGCCAAAAACAACTGGTATAAGGTTTCTCTTTTTGCCTTCCTCTGGAAAAAAAAGAAGTTTAGAACAGCATAAGGGTAAACAAAATGAAAGTGTCATCGTTATTTTCTGTTAATTGCCTGTAATAACGGTTTCTGTTGTCTATCTCACAGATGACTCAACACATGGCAGGAATGAATTTCTATGGTGCCAATAACATGATGGGATACGGGCAGCCCATGGGCGGGGCGGCTGCTCCCGGTTCAAATCCAATGCTCGGGTCACACGTGTGGAAGTGATGGTGTCATAGAGAGAGAGTGGGACCGCGTGTCTGAATTGGTTGGGCTTGGTTGGCGCCACGACTGACTGACAGCAGAAGGGGAACAGATTTTAGGAGCAAACACTTTGTAGAGTCGAGTAGATGATCGCAACCGAAGCAAAGCCTCTACCTCCCTCATTCTCAGAGACAGATTCTCATGCTTGCCTTCAAACAGTCACATACTCAGAGAGAGAATAGAAGTGTGCGTATGCACTTCTCAGCTGAATGTTACACGTTTCACAGCTTTGATGTTCCCAAATGATGCTAATTTGCTACATCTGCTTGAAGATTTGGTTTTCTGTTCTCTCTTTGATCAGTGTTAAGATCCGATTACATTTACCGTTTTTGGGTGAATTTTTATGGGCAAAATCCGGTTAGGAATCCACACAATCTTGAATTTTGCGTGAGGGCGAATGATTTTGCTTGTGAATTTGCCACGTAGACCAACAGAAACCCGCTTGGTATGAAAGTGACTTTTGTGTGAGCTGTGCTTCATGCTTCACTGTTGACAATATACAATTAACCTTTTTGGTCCACAGTGTTTCGCCAAAATTATGCTAATGCGACAGCATCTTTAGTTTCAGTTAACAAAGCTTGCTTCATATCAGAAACAATTTATCATATAGATATGTATGTAACAAAGTCTATACAGTATATCTCATCATAAGCATGTTTGCACTGCAGTCATAAATGAACAATTGAAGCCATTTTAAATTACCATTTTTGTTAATAAGGATCTTAAACTTTGATACTGCTGAGGAAAATGTCCATTTTGTGTCTCTGCTATCAGGTTCTGCAGTGATACTCTTGTATTGTCGTCTTTCTAACGCACAGGGTACAAGTAAGCCACTTTGACTTTGCTTTCTGTCACACTCGCTCTCAACTCAGGAGAAATAAAGACTTGGGATGATAAGGGTTCTCACATCCATCTCATAGCAGGACATTTACATTCAGCCAAAGATTTAACGCTCAGCAGTCGGCATAGGTCTTTGGAATGATACGTTCTAGTTGGATCCATGCTGCTGTTTGTCGTTTCAGAGCACTGCGGTTTGACCTCAAGAGTGTAATAGCACCATTGATTGTATTGTGCACTGCTTTTCTCCTCATTACTGAGTGCAGGGTCACTACTGGCGAAGAGAACAAAATTTTGGGACACTGAGGCTACAGTTTGGACTGAGACCGAATGAATGTTTCACTCTGACTGCTGCCTGGAGAGCAGAATTTGCCATGGCCACTGTGTGAAGTTCGTTCAAAGCAGTCAGCTTGGGGTTTTATTGACTTTGCTCGTTTGTTTGAGCCTAACGTCTACTTCTAGTGTAACCAAATGCAATGAGGTTCACTCTTGATCTTATTTTAAACCAGAGCATGTGAAATGAAGAGGCTAGGACCCCATTAAAACATGCTGGGAAAAAAAACACCCTAAGCTGGTTTGCTGTTCTGGTTTAGCCATCACCTGCTTGGCCTGGCTGGAATACCAACAAGACCAGTTTAAACAAAGTAGATCAGCTTGAACAAGACCAGAAATCTATCTCAGACTGGTTTAGGATGTTTTGTTTAATTATGTTTTTTGTTCAGGGTTAAGCAGTTGTACATGCATTAAACATGTCTGTGCTTTTGTGTTTATTTGCAGGTGATGTTTTTATCTTTCATAGCTATAGAGACTCTCAAATTGTTCTGCCCAAGAAGCTGATTTTATTTTCTTCCCTCAATGTATGACAGTGTATATGACAGTGATTTGTAAAGGACTTCATTGCACTAGGCTTCTCTACATTTTACAATATTTGGTTGCTGTGTTTTTGACTGTTGCCCTGAATGTGAAGAATTATTTGCTAATATTATTACGTATGCTTAGGGATGTAACGATTCACTCAACTCACGATTCGATTCGATTCACAATTATTTTTTTACAAAATGAGATTTAAAGGGATAGTTCACCCAAAAATGAAAATTTGATGTTGTATCTGCTTACCCCCAGGGCATCCAAGATGTAGGTGACTTAGTTTCTTCAGTAGAACACATATGATGATTTTTAACTCCAGCCGTTGCAGTCTATCAGTCGTATAATGCATGGCAATGGTAACAAAATCTATGAGAGTAAAAAAAAACATGCACAGACAAATCCAAATTAAACCCTGCGGCTCGTGACGACACATTGATGTCCCAAGACACGAAACGATTGGTTTGTGCCAGAAACCGAACAGTATTTATATCATTTTTTACCTCTAATACACCACTATGTCCAACTGTCTTTGGGCACGCGCACGGCATCCGGTGCGTGAGGTGTGTACGCGCTCTGGCGTAGTTTACGTTAATGGGTGTGTTGATATCCAGCCGAAGAGCAATCAACCATAACTTCAGGCGAGCAGGCTCAGAAGTTGGGAATACGTGGAAAGTCACCACTCCCGAATGTATCATAAAATAAATATCTTCATATAAACAAAATAAGGCTTTGTCTGTGCTCTTTCCATTTAAAATTAGAGGCAGGCAACCACTGCATTTTAATCATTATCCAAAGAAAGATGCTGCATACTTGCAATATGAGCAGTTTTTAATCTAAATTAGATTGTATAATTTCGAAATTTGAAGCAAAAACAGAATGATTTGACTTCAGTTTTGTGAAACTATACATAAAAAATATCTGCATGAAACAGAAACAGCAGACGAGCTGAATGAGACGCAGATGCACTCTCTGCCAGCAGGTGGCGCTTAAAGCGTTTCCTTGGTTTCCGCTGTAAACAAAGCAGCGCTGCACTTAATATGCATTATACAGAGGCAAGATGAAAAGACAAAATACCATCGAAAGACAGTAAGTTCCCTCAGACATGGATTTATATGAACTCCTACTCCTAATTGAATCGCGATTTGTTTATCATCTCAACCGATTTGAATCTTCACATATTTGAATCGATTTTCAACCGGTTCGCGGTTAATCGTTGCATCCCTACGAGTTATGCTTTTTATACCTTGGTGAATATGTGGCCTGAAATGACACTGTCATTGTGGTCTTGTGCACATCACTGCTCGCTACTGGCCAATAAGTGATCATCAGTGATGTACAGTGGTGTTTGTATCCCATCATTTGTTGCTGAATGTCTCTTTTATTGTGCATAAAGATTTAATTTTAATCTGCACTGCATTTTTTTTAGATTTTGTATGTTTGTTTTCTTTATTCTGATTAAATGGGACCACTCCTTTCTCATAATTAGGCATAACCTGTAAATACCATGTTTGTGATATAATGAGACTTATAACCCTCTATATATGGTCCAAGGTTTTATCTTTAATTTAAAACGATTGCTATAATGGCACTTTATAATAGCAGCTTGTATGCATGAATCGTTCATTGAGAAAGTTTGATTAGACAACATTCAATTTGTGTGCATGCTAGACATTCCAAAAGAGCAATCATTGGACGTTCAAACTGACGTCAGATCAGTGGGCTGAAAAGTATTGCTGCTGATTTGATTCATCTCGCCAGGTGGATCTGCTTTCAACTTGAATGCATCTGTCTGGTTTGAGTGATTTGGATCATGTCATTTAAAGAAGAATGTTGTAGTGCTCGGTGTCAAACTCAATTCCTGGAGGGCCGGAGCCCTGCAGAGTTTAGATTCAACCCTAATTAAACACACCTGATTCAACTAATAATGTCCTTCAGGCTTATTTGAAAACTACATGGTTTGTGTGTTGGAGCAGGATTGGAACAAAACTTTGCAAGGCTCCGGCCCTCCAGGAATTGAGTTTGACACCCCTGCTCTATGTAAAGCAATATGGGGTCCTGTTTAAAATTTGATTTATAATAATACATTGGCACATAGTTAATCCGTAGAGAAGCAATCATTCTAGAGGTCTTCTACAAAATGCAACTGCTACATATACAGTGCACATTTCATAACGCACATAAAATGAAAGCCTTTGTTTTAAGCTAGCGGTAAATGTTAAAAGCTCCATTGCTGTTTTCTTAGTATGCATCAAATTTTCCCTTTTTGGAATATGGAGAGCTTGTTTCCACACATGCTTGCAGACTCAAGGAAGAGACTCCGACAGCTGTGTAATGGGTTTCATCTCTCCTTTTGGTGAAACGGTGCTAAAACATCATCATGCCCACATGACGTTGTGGAGGTCTTGAAAATTCTTCCTCTGTGAACTCTCACCTGAGAGGATGTAACGTCACATAAGTGTCTGTTACACTGAAGTGGTCCCATCATTGTGGCTCACAGTGAATGTGTAATGTGGGTTACTTGCAAAGTTTGTATTTAAGCTCATTTTCAGACATGCATTACAAAGGCTTGAATGTGAAATAAGATGAGAAATAAACATCTTGACTGCAATTAAGTGATGATTATATAGTGCATTCTCTTTAGTGGCACAAATGCAATAAATAAATTAATAAATAACAATCACCCACACATAAGTGGATGATGAAAACTTTTCAATTATTTGGGAGGTGGAGAAATTCTTTAGAAGGTTAAGCAGTTGAAATGTATTTTTTTCAATTTGCATATATTCAACTTAATTCATGTTATAATGAGTGAATGAAGCGTTTTATTAAGAGCAGTGATTCAACAGCGGTTGTTGTAGCCGCCTTTATGGAGGGTTTGTACTTTAGTGTGAGAAGGTAGGTAGTTTTGTTGTAGCAGTGAGATTCAATAGTTGCTGCCACTTGCACAACAACCACTAGGGGGATGGGTTGCTGTGATTTTGCCAAGTCAGACATGTTCCTGGATCACCATCTTTTGTTGATCCTGGAAAATTGCTGTCCAAAAACATAACCCTATTCCTGCCCTTAAACCTAACCCTACCCATAATGCATCCCTAAAATCAGAGGGAAATGATAGCTGAATAACAGGGGTGTAGAAGCACCTAACCCTTGTTGTAAGCCTAAAACTGACATTTCCTGTAAAGTTGTTCCTCAAATCTGATTGGTTGATTGGGATGTTGTTCCAGGAACAACAAGGATGTTGATCCAGGAACATGTTGTACTTGGTGAAATCACATTCACCCAATCGGCTAGTTGGAAATTGATAAAGGTTGGAGTTTGTCGTCCATTTAGCTTTCTAAACCCTCTGGTTATGGAAGCATATGGGTAGCAGCAGTATTCATTTTGATTTGTAATATGCAAAATGGCAATGTATTTCTGTATTTAAATGTATATTTTCCCATGCAACGTTTAGTGCAAAATGAAAATTCCATTATATAATTTACATTTGCCATTTCCTACACTAGTAGCCTATAAGTATTTAATTTATCTATTAAAACTAGTGTAGGAAATGACAAATGTAAATTTAAATACAGAAATAGGAAATGACAAATGTAAATTTAAATACAGAAATACATCGTCATTTTACATATTACATTGCTATTTTGCATATTACATTTCAAAATGAATATTGCTGTACCCATATGCTTCCATATCTGTTCATAAAATTCGGTCATTTAGACCGGATTTTTTATTTATTTATTTCATCGGTATGGTACGAAACTCGACGACTTATGGCAGTCGCTATGTGACCACAAAAAATAAATAAATAAATAAATAAAAAAGA